TACTTTTCTATGTTGCGCAAAAATTGTGCATATTATGAGTATCAGTAGTTTTTCTTGTCTACAACGTGAATAAATTTATTTCTCTATGTTGCTTAATCCGATCATATTGTAGACTAAATGTATGCTAGAATATGAAAGATGACTCCTGAATGTTAGATAAAATGTTATGCATGTATCTACAAGACTTAAGTAGCAGTAGAATTTTATTCTGTGAAAAAATATGTATCGGCGTCAAGTCGAAGTCAAGTTAAGAGAAAAAGTTAAACTTTAACGAAAAGTTAATCTCATGATAAATTGCTCAAAAATGCACAAAGTCATAAGATTTAACTAAAGTTACCATTTCAATGAGAAAATTGATATACGGTAAGAGACCAAACATCCTGTGTGTACCAGCCTTCGAAGGAAAGGTTATTATGAGACTAAAGAGACGAAACCGTGACTGAGCTAGATTGGTTAGCTACCCCACTCCTTACTGGTTATGCGCGATATGGTACAACGGGACAAGGCCCATAAGAAGTAAAAGACAAGAAAATGAAAAAATAAAAACCGTTCCATATAAAGGTGCGATATTTGTAAAGAAGAATGAGAAAAATGAGAAGAATGAGAAACACAATATGAAAGTCGTTCAGAACATGAAAATACAATGTGAATGACTAAAGTGAGACGAAAGCTAAACAAATTATGTAATGAAATAAAAAGAACATAAGACATACATGTCCTAGTAATACAGAGTGTCTTAAGATATATGACATGAATGCATATATGGGTATGTATAATTACTGCATCTATTATGACCTATTGTTACTTGTTGAAGGAAAGCTCATTAAGTTTGTTCGTGTTGTAGGAAGTACAGGCAAGGCACCGGCTCCCTGAAACTTGTTGCTGGGCATGTAGAGAGGATGTAGCAGTGGAGTGTGGGAAAGTGGGTAGTGGATGCATCACGTGTTTTGGAAACGTTGCTGAGCTTTATGTGTATAAATTAAATAATGTTTTATGAATATATATGAGTTATGTAATGAAAGTTGAGTTTACAAGACAATGAGGCTATGTATAACAACCTCTAGTTACAAGGTATGATTAATGTATCAAAATCCTACAGCATTAACGGAATGCTACCAAAATGCTACAACATTAAGACGTATGAATGGTTGAAAAAAAAATAGCCTGAATTTTTAAGAGGTTATAATTAGAAAGTAGTAGAGGATGAGTAATTATGAATGTAGGATGATGATCAAAAGTTATGGTTGTCACACTTGGCCTCATGAGCGTAATTCTTCTGGGATCTTTGTGAATCCCCTCTTATGTATGGGCCTCCATGGATCGTCTGTATTATTCTGACAAGCTTACGGTCGTTGTCACACTGACCATCATCCCGCCGATGCCTATCTTCCCTTTGCCTTTGGTTTCTTCATTCCGCCTGGAACTCTTAGAGTCTGCCTTTTCAGTTCAATCTCATCTTTTAGATCCGTTCTTAAATTAGTGTTGTGTCCAACTTCCCCGTGGAACTGACAATATTTATTCTGGTTCCTCCTGCTCGGATATGACATAATAGGCTCTGGTCGATGTAGAATGTTCCTCATACTAATATGATTGTACACTTCTTCTACTCCTACGGTTAGCTTATGGTAGCTATCGTACCGTTGGAATATAATGGACAAGGCCTTGGTGGTCCTCCTGTCTCGGCTTTTTGGTCTCAGACTGGTTAGACTTTGAGGCTGCTTGTTTGTCTTTGCCGCCATTACCTCGTCGCTTTCGATTATCTTGTTTCCCTTATGTCGATCCCTATTCCACTCTTTTATCTCTGTTAGACCAGTGCCCTGGGTCATTTGCCTCAGCTTCCTCTGCATTTATGAATCTATGTGCCATCGCCAAGAATTCTTAGTACGTAGAAGGCTGCTTGCGGTTAAGGTCACGCTTGAATAGGGAGTTCTTTTTCATGCTAGATAGAGCTCCTCTCAGTGCCTCCTTGTCGGTCATGTCCATTGTACCGGTGACCGCTTCTCCAAACCTAGCCAACCACTCTTTCAGCGATTCATTTGGCCTCTGGTAGACCATTGTTAAATTCTGCTTCGGGGGGATATACTTTTTCACCCTAATGAACTGCAAGGAGAAACCCTCCTTCAATTTATCCCAACTTGAAATCGAATTTAGCTTAAGCGTCCTGAACCATCAGCGGTCTGAGTCAGTCAGATGGTTGCGAAACGCTAGACACATTATTTCCTTGGAGTAGCCGTAGAGTAGCATATGTCCTGTATACAATTCTAAATTATCGTCGGGGTCCCCCCTTCAGTCATATGGAAGGATCAATGGTGCTTTGTACCTGTCAAAAAGCAACGGAGCCATTATCTCCGCAGTAAACAAGTGGTCATTTACTCTTTTTGGGGAGATGCCGACGTTGACCACTTCAACTACCTGTCCTAAATTCTTTTGTAAGGACTTACCTGGCATTTCACACCTTTCTCGGAGTAGCTGTGGAGCAGCATATGTCTCATATACAATTCTAAATGGTCGTCGGGGTCCTCATTTTCGTCATATGGAGGGATCGATGGTGCTTTGTACCTGTCGGGAAGCGACGGAACCATTATCTCCGCAGTAAACGGGTGGTCATGGAATCTGTCCGGGGCGATGTTGACGTTGACCACTTCAACTACCTGTCCCAAATTCTTTTGCAGGTGACTCACCTAGCGTTTCATGTCTTTCTCGACATCACCTGTCAGCTTTTCCTCTAAGCTCACCACGCGTTCCATAATGGCTTTTACCTCTGCCATTGAGATTGCTGAGTCAACCCCTTTTAAGGCTTCTGCCTTTCTAGCATTCAGCTTGTCTCTAAGATCGTCACCCCGCTGCACTGACCCTGAGTCTTCTGGGACATTACTGCCTTGGTTTCCTCTAAGTGGTGCCCTGAGGGACAACTCTAGGCCCTTCGTGTCCTCTTTTTCTTGGGCGCGACTCTTGGCGGTTTGCCGTCTGCTTCTCAGAGATTTGGACGGTCGAGGTCTCGGGTCATCTTCCCTTTGTTCTCACTCTCTCTAATCTCATCCAGTGCACTGCGCTGGTTACCAGCATTCTGGTTCCCGATGGCGGTGGCACGCAGTGGTCTCGGGGAGGCATCTTCAAGAAGAGGCAGTGAACTTCTCCCATCCATTCGCTCAATGGTGGCCACTAGGCCGCGAACCAGGTCAGTCAACGCGTTTAGCTAGGCCTGCATCTACGTTGTGTCAGGCTGAGGCACACCTGGGGTCGGGGCTTCGTCCATTGCCGGGGGTTGATTCCCCTCGTCGGGCTGATTTTTGCCCCTCCTTCCATTGGTGTGATTGGCATGGAGCATGGTGTTTTCCTTTGACCAGTTGCCTTGGTTACAGCGTTACTCCTTGTTCTTCTTGGAGGCTTGGTTGTTGATGAGCTCTCGGTGTATTGGAATTCTTCACATGCACAAACCAAAGATTCTGGGTTCGGTCCCCAATGGAGTCGCTAATTCTTGACGGTAGAATTTCATCAACGGAAATACACATGATTATCGTCTAGTAGTTGGTTGGATTACCGGTTAAGTCACGTCAAAATAACAGCTCTATGTCCGATAAATAAAGTGTAATTGTTCGTGCATGTGCTTTATGGATTTCGCTTTAAGGTTTCTCCGAATATCAAAGGAACTAAAAGAAAAGATAAGAACCCCAAGATTTATAGTGGTTCACTCTCAATGCAAGAGCTACGTCCACTTTGAGAAAGTTCCCTCTATTTTCCTTCTTTTTCTCTCTTTTTTTTATTACAAGAAGCTTGGTTCTCTCTTATGTTCGTATCGGCCCCCTTCTTTTCTCTCTTGTGCCATGCACCTTTTTTATCTCACACAGATTACATAGTGGAATAACCCGAGGCAAGTGGTTACCCTGCAGTTGCTCTCGAGTAGCCCACTGTCCTACTCATCTAGACTGCAGCCCTACAGTGCCTATCCGACTGTTCATCTACCTACTCTGCCGAAAATTATGGCTCTGTGGCTCCCCCGTGATTTCCTATTGGTCTATTTTGGGGGGCCAACTGGCCGGTAATCATTTCTCTGGCCAATGGCTTTGTTTATACCCACACGTTACCTAGGAATTTCTCTCTTGTCACCTCAGGGGGTCTTCTCGGGATCTAGGTCAGATAACTGATTGCGTTTGCCCTCTCGGCTTTTCACTTGGCTAGATAGCAAATCCAGACAGGGCCCTCGTCCTCGTCGATCTTTGCATGGGATTGACTGCCTACGGGGTTTTGGAACCATCTCCATCTTAGCTATTCGGTCGACTGCCATCGTTGACGCTTTGAAATAGCTGAACTTCAAAGTTTGAAAAGTAGATGCTTCGACCGTCGGCGCCTTCTAGGAGCGGGGTCTTTATTGACCCTTAAATGCTCTTATGTAATGGCTACGTGGAGCCTATCTATCGTCTGACGTGGCAAGATAGATTTTCGCACATAACAACTAATATTTATTTTTAATCAATATTCATAACACAAATACTTTATCATCTCATAGTAAAATACAACCACAAAAATTACTAGTGTGAGTGCATGATTTTTCCCTAACATATGTCAAAGTTTTATCTTATAAGAGAAAATATCAGACGGAATAGTGACTAAAACAAACTAAATAGTGACATAAAAAATTTACATATTTAAAACCATGAAAGAAATAGTTTAAAATTCACATTAACATAAATATAAGGTATGGCTTGGTTAGTTAAAATTCAGAAAGTTTGAAACAACAAACCAAACCAAATCACACCATGTGATGTGGTTTGAGCAGTTTTTATAATTAAGCGGTTATTTTACTCATCCCTGCTCCGATCTAATAAAAAACCTAGATTTTTTATTAGCTACCATGCATTGAAAACACATAATTCATATATGAATAAAAAGGTAACACAAAATATAATTAAACTCTTACTAGATACACACATGCCACACAATAAAATACACATACGTACGTACGTACATACATATATTTATATATATATTTATATATATACCTGAGATTGTTGCATTCAGTACTCCCACTCATTGCTGATGCATCCGTGATAGATATATGAACGGCTTCTGACCATGAGAGTTGTTTGAGACAAGTGGCCTTTGGATTACCCCACCGATAACTATTGGATGGTAAATTCAAAAAGTTACTTTGAATCTTCTTTTCAAAAGGTTGATTAAAGAGGTTCTTCTGCTCATATTCCAAGCTCTCAAGAACTTCCACTGAGATTCCATGATTGACAACTTGAAAGAAACCCCAATTGCTTGCAGCTTGAGCAATCTCATTGATGCACCTTTCTCTCTCTAGCTGGTCATGAGAACTTAGATGGCTAAGATTTATCAAAGGCAGATTACAATCCCCTACATAAATATCAAGCTTATGATCATCTTTCATTGTGTTGAGGGAGCTTTGTAAGACCAGGGTGTTGTAGGCCTCTTCGAATGGAGGTTCGGAATCCATGGATGGCGGGTAAGACGGCTAATTGAAATTAATAATTTAGCCCTGATCAGTAACAACAGTTCTATAAGAATTATGTTACAAAAAATAAAAATCGAATGAGCCTAATTTAATGCACTTTTTAGTGCTAATTGAAAGTCCCTGCCTGCCTGAAATTAAACTTGTACCAATATCTTGACTCCAAAAATGAACTAATTTCCTCTAATTTTGATGATAAATTTACTGTTTTTTTTAGACATTGTAAGTTTTTGTTTATTAAATTTTCTTGTTTGATTACGTACGACATACTCAATAAATAACGATATATATAACATATGAGGCTATATAGGTAAAGTTTTAAGTTTGACACTCGTACGTTCGGTAAATTTAGCTTTTTCGTTTTTCTATGTAATATCATTTATACATGTGTGTAAAGCAATCACTTTTTTAAATGTAATACTCAATGTTAAGTATTGGACTACGGTTTTTGAATATTACACTTAAACAAAATGAGTGTAACATACATAACGAACAATATTACATAGAAATATAAAAAATAGATATATTTATCAGACGGATCAGGCTACCGGCTTACTTAAGACATTTTCTGTATATATATGTGGGTGAAGTTACTATATATACATAAACGTAATGTACTTTCACCAAATATATATATATATATAAATATATATACACGTAATGTACAAGAACATGGTGGCTCGTGAAGTTGATACTATTTTAGTACGTGGAAATGAATAAATACATATATGCTACACACACACATACGTAATAAGCATGTGGACAAAGCTGACCTCTTTTGTTTTATGTTTGTGAATGGGCCTTACTGTTCAGAGTAATTTCAGTGTCAGCACCACTTTCGTCATCGGCTTACGAGAAAGTACACAGCTGTTTGGGCAATCATTTCGTAAGTAGGTTCAAACAAAAATAGTTTCAAACTTGTAGGCTTGAATCATGTGAGTTTTGAACTATAAATCATAAATTTTTTAGTTTGAACCAGGTCCAGCAAAACCCAAGAGGTATTGATATTGTTATACTTTTACCATCGATCGTCAAATTAGACGTTTTAACGTTTTCTTTTCATGAAAACATTATTTTACTTTCAATTTAATCCGCAAGTTGACTAAAGGTCCAGCCTAGTTTAAGCCACTTAATCGGCTAGTCTTGAGTGGCAAGCTCACTAATTAGTTGCATTACAGTTAGTTAGCTACTAATACAATTTGCTTAATTCCATTAGTCCTCTGCTAGTATTCACACGACAATGATTAACTAGCTATCTAGCTTATCAAGAAGTTTGTAAATAACACACCTAATTTCATCTTAATTAATATGTGGAAATAAAAAAATCTCCCACCTCAAATTTAGGGGGAAAAAAAATACGTAATGATTTTTTTAAGGCAACATGTACTACAAAACCTAACTAGTCTTGGTTTTCCTCACCTTTTACATGATCACTAACACTGTTGCTCAAACTGTGAAGCATATATATATATATATATATATATATATATATATATATATGCGTGTGTACATATTTGATCACATGAAAAACTACATGCGTGATTAATAAGGAAACCTCATAATATATAAATATATATTTATATACATATATATATATATATATGTGTGTGTGTGTGTGTGTGTGT